GAAAAAGTTATTATTTAAACTTGCTTGGAGAATTACTAATGAAAAAAAAAAAAAAAAAAAAAAAAGAAAAAAGGAAAGAAGAAGGTATTAAAGGCAAATCAGCAGTATTTGAAAAGCGAGGGCTATCGGATGAAAGATGAAGGAGACGCCAGATTTATAGGATATTAAATAAAAAAGCGATATTTGTTGTAAAAATATGTTTTATTCAAGATCATATAAATCTGGCACTTACATTGTACAGCGCAATTTTAATAAATACTTCGACTAGATGTCACTAACAATGTTCATTCATGCTGAAAGTATCGAACTAACAGTGTCAGAAAAGTAAGTACGGACGAAGCAAAACTTAACTCTAAAAAAAAAAAAAAAAAAAAAAAAAAAAAAGAAAGAAAAGATAGAATTAAGCAGCATCACATCAAATCATCCGATCTATTCGAAATTTTACACCATAATTACACGTGGAAATGACTTATTCGCTATTTAATTCAAGTTAAATTCAACACAGTCTATTTGCTCTTTGGAAATTGAAACTCATTCCTCCCAATGATATGTAATATATCAATAGACTTTGAAGGTGTCAACTTAGTCTCCTCATGTGTTAATAGAAACATGCAAAAAACAATGTTTTCTCATTAGTACGTGCCATTTTTCTGTCGTCGATATGTTACTAATTTAATAGGTACTACCCTTGTCCATTAAAAATCGTTATAGTTACTACACTCTTGATAATGTAAGTGCTCAGTTATAGTTTTCGTTGTGCTTCTCCCACACCAGTTTTTTTTTTTTTTTTTTTCAACAAACATTATTGAGAAAGTTCAACAACAACGCGCGTCTAACTATTCCATTTCCGGAAGTTTATCAAATTATGGTACGAAAATTAGGAACAATCTGAACAGTGAAACCGAAAAATCTCTAAAATAGATAACTACCACTACGAAAAGCTAAGAACATATGCATAGTTACAATGGTTGCTATATATAAAAGATGAATACTATGACCATTGTTCAACGAAAGATGAAAGGCTAACAATAATTCGGTATATTTCTAATTATCAAATGAAATGATAAAGCATCGACACTTACATTCTGTGTAAGAAAAATGTTGTTTCAAATAAGGAAAGTTAAGCATCGATCGTATATTTTGAATATTAATATTCCAGTTGAATAGTAATAAAATTAATAATAATTGAATAATGATAAAAATTAACAACAACTGAATAATATTCAATTTATAATTATATTCAATATATTTTATAATATTCAATTGTATCATATCCACGTTGAATATTAATATTTGAATTTTGAAAAATTCATCATTTCCTGCGAAAATGTTATTTATCAAGTAGATAGATATCTTTCGATAATGCGTCATGCGACAAGTGAAATACAAGTCTCTCTCTAATTCTTAGTTATATAGCGTTTTATATATATATATATATATA